CTGCTTGAATGCAAAAAGTGAAGGAAGCAAGCCTCAGTTTTTGATATCTTTCTTAAGACAAACAAACAAATAAAACTATTACTTAGGGGCATAGATACAACACTCAATTCACATACACTGTCAAGTAGTTAGTTTCCTGATTTGTGTACTATTAAAATTATGAGATTAGGAACTAATAGATTTAGGATAATAAAATTAAAATGATTTACTACATTACAGATACCTAACTTGTTAATTTTAGCAATGGAGTAACTGTAAAAAAGTACTTCTATGTCACATGTTAATTCAAGCTTATAATTAATTTTTCTCTTATAAAAACATTAACTATGACATGTCTGATTGTGTAGTAGTAAGGGCGTTCTAAGGATAAAATCACATATTAGAAAATGGACATCAAGAAGTCATAGATACTATGGAAAAGTTTTAAAATGCACTGTCTAACACATGAACTGTTTCTAAGGCTCTTGTGACCATAACCACCAGCCTAGTGAGGATTAAACTACTGTCTTCACATCACCTAATAACAGCTTACAGCTCTAAACACACCCAGACGATAGACAAAATATCTACACCGGAACAAGTTAGCATTTGATAGGCACTAATCTAATTGCTTGAATCAAAATGACAGACTGTCTGATTTCTATGATAAAAACATAAGATGAATTTTATTGACACTAATCACTACTTACTAGCCATGCTTAATTGAAACAACTTTTCAGAATTTGTAAACCACATATGAGATATCAAATGTTAGCCATGCTTGGGAGCTTTAAAAATAAAATTAACAAGTGGCCAAATGAGATATACTAAGCCCACTGACTTACATGCTCAATAATAATAATATCAAATGCCCTGTGTGCATATGCAATGAAAATGCAAAGAAATTCTTCAACAGACTCTGACTCTCGCAAATACGGTGCGTGTGACTAACAGAGAGAGTCTAGGCATAGCAAAAAGCCTGAGTGACAGCAGAGAGGAATGTGCAAATTTGTGCAGGAACCCAGCCAAATGTTTGACAATTTCCCTCATAGCCCTGGATTTATTGAAAAGTGGCACTTTCTCTTTTAGTCTGTTAGAGCTAAAGAACATTAGCTGAGGGCAGATAACATAGTTTAATGATCGTGTATTTGCCAAGCATGTGTGAGATCCTAGTTTACATTCCCAGCACAAATGGAAATTAAAAAGAAAATCATTAGTTGAATGGTAAAACTTTCCTTGTCTTTAAAACATATATCCTTGAGGACTAGATTTACAAAGTCATGTTATATCAAATAATATGAACAAAACGTTGCACAAAAATTGTCCATTTCACAAGTGTTTAATGGAGTTCCAAAATTTTTTTTTCTTGGAAAAATATAAACATGGTATTCTTTGAATTCTTTGAATTCAAATTCCTTTGAATTTTTCTCACTATAAAAAATTTCCTGCAAAAATTATACTAAATTATTATAAAAGAAGTGTTATTAAAAGAAAATTTAAATTGTATATTTTATAATATTTGTTATTGTTCTATGTGCGTGGATATTGTGCCTGCATCTAAGTGTGTGCACCACATACATGCAATGGTCATGGAGATCAGAAGAGGACTTCAGATCTTCTGCAACTGGAATTACAGATAGTTCTTAGTCACCATGTGGGTGCTGGGAATCAAACCCTGGGTCCTGTCCAAGAGCAGCTAGTGCTATTAACTGCTGAGCCGTCTCTCCAGCTTCCAAAATTTACAACGTAAAACACAGTCTCTGAATACACTTTACAGATTTCAGTATGTACTTCTTCTCAGCAATAGACAAAGTACATAACTACTTTACAAATAATGTAATAAGCACACTTTGTTCTAGTCACTCTGTCCTAAAGCCCACCCATGTCCTCAATGCTGTATATTTGAATGCTATGTAAATGGTGAAAACATGCTATTTTCCTTCAAATAATTTGTTATTCAATATGGGTACAACTGAAACGAGTATATGCATTACAAAATAAATCTTTTCTTATAACTACCCGTAGTTGTGTGCTGATATAAAATAAAATTGCTGAGCATTTTATACGAAATGGCTATAATCTTTATGTATACGTAATAAGTAAAATTGGCAAGGTACTTTTCAAGTTAAGATATGGTTCTCACAAAATTCACTAAACCCGTAAATGAGTCTTATGGGACTCACTCTGCAAATTTTCCCACTTGTGAGATGTTACAAAGGGAAATGACTGAATAAAATTTACACATCAAGCAATTGAGCCACTATATGAACTGGACCACATCAGAACTGTCATTAGATTGACAATTCTCAAGTGTCTTCATGTTGAGTAAGACCTGTTATGAGATTTTTTTTTTTTTTTTTTTTTTTTTTTTTTGCCCTGCTGATCTGGTCCCAACACTGCACCAGCCCCAAATAACACGCAGAGACACTGTAATAGGTATAATTCTATAGGCCAGTTACTAGCTTCTTATTGGCTAACTCTGTCTTAAATATTAACCCATTTCTATTAATCTAAGTACTTCCACGTGGTCTTATCTTACCAGAGGGGCTGGCGTTCTTCTCTCCGTCCTCCATCTTGAATCTCCTCCCTACTACTTCCTCTCTCCTCCTAGTCTCCTAGTCCTGCCTATCTTCTTTCCTATTGGCCAACAATGCTTTATTCATTAACCAATAAGAGAAACATATTTACAGAATGGCACCTCCTATCAAAGACCTTTCAAAAGAACAATGCAATTTCATCATTACTACCTTCTTATCATATAATAGTGGCAGCTGATATTCACTGAGAGCATACTGTGTGTAGGCACCACTCTACACTATACGCTAAGTCAAACAGGCCAATCAAAACTCTGTGGGCATTTGCTCCGCCCAAGACCTTGAACTACCTGATCCAACAGAGGCAGTACTTCATCTGCTGAGTGGTGGAGGCAGCTATTTACCTTGTCCTGTATCTGTGACTGTATCCTGATACATCCTTGATATCCCTTTGAATGAGTACTTGTGGTTTTGCCTACAAAAGGGCTCTATTTCAACCCATTTTACAGAAGAAAAGATTGAAGTTCAGATTAAAATGGATAAACTACCTAAGATCACAATGACTAGCAGCTATAGGAATCAGGGCTGAAGCCCAGAGTCTATCATTCCAGGATACATCATGTTCTTTCTTGGGGGGGGGGGAAGGCAGAGAAAAAGGTTGGAGATGGCTCAGCAGATAAAGGATCCTCCTGCTCCTAAGGAACCAAGTGTTTTGTTCCTGCTATATATGATTGAGGATTCACAACTATGGGGACTAGATATCTCTGGCCTCCTGGGCACCTACACTCACATGTATAACTAACACACATACACACACACACACACCTAAAAATAAATAACTAAAAAGTAGCAAAGGGAGAGAAGAATGCCTTCTGAGTCAGGAAGGAGGTATATAGAGGAAAGCTTACCAAGAGTAGATGCGGGACACTGGCAGAATGGCACGGAGAAGAGGGTGCAGGAGCCGATCAGGCTGGGGCACCTTTCTCCCATAGAGGAGGAGGGAGTGAGTGAGCCTGATTCACTGCCAGGGTGCCCTAGGGAGTACGAGCTGAAGAGGCTAAAAGTTACTGCCTGATTAATAAAGCTAGTAAAAGTGACTACCAGTCTCTTTTTGTTGGGGGGGGGGGACTCAAAGCCATTAAAAGACTCTGAATAGGCATGGTAACACCCCCTCCAAATTGATGATAGCCCACCACTGCCAGAGTACATTTCACACCAGAAGAAATAACAATCTTTCCCTTAAACTGGCATCTATACTTCTGCACCCCTTGTCATTCTTAAAAATCCTTCCAGTGAAGTGGAGGCCAGAAGTGGAAATGTAATTAGCACAGCTCGCTCTTCATTACTTTTCATACCAGAACTCCATGCTGCTAGCAGGCAGTTTAGCATATAGTTCTTTCTCATAACTGTGGAAACCAGATGAAGAAAATTGCGACAGAACTCCATTCAAGTAAGTCAACATGATGAAACATATAGCACATCTTAAAAGTAGCATTTGCAATCCTTCAACCACAGCAAAGGACAAAAGCAGTGATACCCAGACATCCTTAAGTGGCATGTCATGAAAGATGTATTCAACGAGGAAAAAACTAACTGTAATGGAACTTCCTCTCATTACTTAAAATAAACCAGGTCACTGAGATGAGATGGGGTGCGGTATTTTGTTCATTTTGATTTCAGTTTAATTTCATCAAACCATAAATTCCCATGAAAATACCTTGGACATGCACCTGCAGTCACTATAATGTGTAACAGTCTACGTGTTTCTGCATGATTTTAAACAAAATATAATAAAAGAAATAATGTGAGCACATTTCTCCAAGTTGCTTTTTTTAAAAACTTATATCAACAATTTTATTTATGAATTATCTTCATGGCTGTAAACTGCAGGTGTAAAATATACTGTATGGTCTGACTGGAAATTTAACTCAGAAGACCAAGTTAAAAGCCTAACCTACGCACATCAAAATTAAGCTAACTTCCTAGATTACATCAATGATCTTTTTTTTTCTTCCCAAAGCCATTGAAGTTAAATATACCTTGATGTATTAAGTTCAGCTGTAACTATAACTGTAATATATATTCAACTGAACCATGACCTGTTTTTTTAATCTCAAAAGTGAAAGGGAATTATGGCAGTTATGAGACTTACATTTTTTTTCCATTCTAGGATCCCTCTGAAAGTTATTTCACACTAGAGCTAAAAGCAAAATGCACTTCATCACGTTCGTATGCTTTGCAAAATATTTATTTATGCTACTGCCCATAAGACAGCATTTTAAGTCACCCATAACAATTATATATTTTTCATTTACTTTCAAAGTATACAGACCGGACATTTGGCAAGGAAAAATATCACTATGTAATATGATTCCTAGTTTAAAATTCAGTTGTAACTACATGCTACATTTACTTACAAGGCAATACCAATCCACACAACAAATACAAAATTAACATATATAAATAAATGTGGCTTAAAATACCCACCCCTAGCAGAAAGCTTTTTGGTGTTGATAATTTTGGCAGCATACTCTTGTCCGGTAGGGATTTTCATACATCTTCTCACCACTGAGAATGCCCCCCTGGAAACCAATAATTAGCAAGTCAGCAGTATAATCAGACCTAGTATCCACTTAGAAACTTACAAACCTGAACATATGCATGGGTCTCTAGCGGTCTGTCAAATATCAAAATAATACAAGCATTATCTAGAAAATGAACAATTCTTTCTGGCAAACCCAGAATTAAAAGTAAATTTTAATTGACTGGAAACACACATTATTAATAAAAATAAAAGGAAATGCCAATTATGACCACTTTTGTTTGCACAGAAAATTTTAAAACATTTCATAATTCACTCTCACAAAACACCAAATGCTCATAGCAAACCTTGCAAAGAGCAGAGCCCGGGGAACATGGGGGGGGGGGGAATCTGCCTGTTTATTTCGGTAGGGAGAATAATTAATGTGGCTCCAAGTAGGTAAATATGGCGATTGTTTTCATTAAAACATAAATCTGGGGCTCACTGGTGTGCTTTACCAGCTCCTGGTAAAGGTGCTTTCTCTGCCTGGTTTGGGCTGGGGGAGGGGAGAGATTTGAATTAAGCTGCTCTTCCGACATGTCTCCATGTTTCAATAGCAGATCATCTATGAAGATACCATTTTCATTCCTTTTAAAGTGCTTACACTTCCTTTTATGCAACTGTACGAACCTACAGCACGCACACAAAAATGCATCTTTTCCCTAATAGTGGAAATCAGCAATAGAGGAACTGGTTTGGGGTTGGATGCTTGGTAAATCGGCATTCCCGGCTGGGTCTCTGGTCGCCCCTGTACATATCTTCTATAGGTACCCTGTCCCTCCTTAATATCTACAAGAAGTTCTGGCACTTAAGAGGAGGAGGTCATTTTACACAACCACAAGGCTAGGCTACCCTTGGGGAGCGCTTCCTGAGCTCTGGGGGGCTTTTCCCCTGCCTGAATAAATAAATTTTCTCAGAAAAGATGTAGACATACTAAAATCCTACAAGAATGGTGGTGAGCGAATCTTTTAGTGCAAAGAAGGATAGCGGATATGGGGCAGGGTGGTGGGTTCTGTTGGGTGGCCCTTTTCCTGGACAGAACAACTACTTGGATGCCGAACCAGACTGTCCACCAAGCCAAGTTGAACTTTCGGCATCGATAAATATGGCACCATCTCTAAGAGCCAGTGCTCATCAGCTCATCCGAACCTGGGTCAGACGGCAGACGCGCCGACCGCGGGCTGAGCAGGAGTCATCTATTTACCGAAAATGTGATAAATGTATTTTGCATGCATCTCCTCTCCGAACACACACACACACACACACACACACACACACACACACACACACACACACACACACACACACACACACCACTCGCGTGCGCGCACACTTCTCAGGATGACAGCTACAACTGCAGAGATCGTAAATTCACCAAGTCTCCCGTGGAGGTGGAAGACCCCGTAAAAGAGGGCTAGGGGTTCGAGGTACCCGTCACAGTGGGATAGGGGTTTCCTCCCCTCTGTGCTCCACCCGCACCCAGCCAGGGGTCCGTCACCCGCCTCGGCCTGCGGGCTCCCTCTCCCCCACGAGGGAGACAGGGGTCTCGGGAGGAGATGCCAGGCAGGGACCCTTACTTTCCGAGCTCCTCGAAGAGCTGATATTCGTCGGTGAATCGGGTGCAGGTTGTGGTCGAAGCCATGGCGGGGTCTGGACAGTGCGCCTCTGGGAGCGCGACGGTCGACACGCGAACAGACGCGGCTTCCCGGGACTGGCGCCGCCGCGCTGTCACCCGGGGCCGCCCTCACTTTCCTTGTCCGAAAGTAGCTCGCCCGCGAGGGAGTGCGCGCAGGGGCGGGGCGCGGTGGACAGACCAGCCCGCTCCGCGATCTCTCCTCCTCCCACTGCGGCCGCGGGACAGAGCGCTCCAGAAGGGGTCGGGGGCCGGCAGGAGGGGTGGCGGGTGACACCGAGGCGGGCCGCAGGGCGAGGTCAGCGCAGCGCCCGGGGCGGCGGGCGACGGCCGAGAGTGAGCAGCCGGCCGGCTGCTCCTGCAGGCGGAGGCGGCGCTGCTGGCCCGCGCTCCCCACGGGGCCGCAAGGCTGGGAACCCGCGCGGCGACACAGTGCGCTCGGCTCGGGCGGGCGAAGCTGGCCGCCGCAGCTCCTCCCCGGCGCCTCCTCCCGCCTCTCCCCGCCCTGCGAAGCCCCCTCCTCGCCGGCCCTACACCTCCCTCTAGCGACTCCAGCTGCGTCCCTACGGGCTGCTCTCCCGCAGCCGTCTAAGGAGAACTCAGGGAGGGGATGTGCTGTGCGGAGCAGCGGGCGCGCACTTAAGGGCACAGGGACCGGGATGTCGCAGTGACCCACCAGGGGTCGGGAAGATAAGGGAAGATGAGGGAAGACTCGCAGCTCCCACCCCGGGGACGTCTCTAGGCCGGCCACTCAGCCACGGTGCCGGGGAAGCAGGGACAGGGATGCTTTCGCTGCATCTGGGCGCGGTTCCCCACCCGGGTCCCACGTCTCCCGGCTCGCAGCGACGGCCGGCGGCTGCCAGCCCAGGCCACCTCTGCTGCGACCCCGCTGTTCCTCAGCTAGGGGCGAGGATAGCCCGGGCGCCACGTTTCATTTCAGGTTTTACTGTCACCTCTTCGCCCTCCTCTCCCGTTGTTTTCCTGACTAGGACAACCCCCATAAGCCTTTGCTTGGCCATAAATCCTAACATAATGAAAGCAAAAAGCCCAGCACTCTGCCACACCTTCCTTCCTCTCCTGAGTAACTCCCTTGTAACCCCAGCAAGTTCTGATAGTAAGAAGGGTTCTCGCGAGATGTCCCACTCTGGTGGCGAGGGGGTGGGGTATTTGGAAGGTTGGCTGCGGGTCACGCGACCCAGTGGGGGCTGACGTCATTAGAATCACGTGAGTGTGTCTAGCCTGTTTCGCTTTGCATAAGCAGAAGGGACAAGGAGAGGAAGATCGTGAGTTTTTTAGTTGCTTTCTCAAAGAGCAGGCCAGGTAGATGCACAGGAATGCACTCCATCAGTGGCTACCTGGAAAACCACTGATGAGTTCAAGCAAGAATGTGCCTGCTCTTGAGCGTATCTGCCACTATTGCTTAATAATTAACATGGTGAAAATAATTAGCATGCAAGAAGGTAGTTGTCACTGGTTCCTAAGATCATTTCTGGACCTTCCCTCTGGTTCTGAGTCTTTAATAAGCGTTGCAATTGCAGATTTAGAGGCCGATGGAAAACAGAAGTGTAATGAACAGTTGTTTGTTTTTGCTGCACTTGTTCTACAGAATACCATAAAATCCTGCATTCCTAGTGCTAATTTTCTCATGCATAGAATTACATCATACACTGAAAAGTTCACAACATAGATAACTTTCAGTTATAGAGATTGTGTATAGGCTTAGGCTTTCTGAGAGGCTCCTTGCTCACTGTCAGGCACGTTCCTAATTCTTTTATTTCCTGTTTTAAAGAAGGGCTATTACGCTTATAGTGGCCTTTGAACTCAAGTACTCAAGCTAGTCATAGAATTTTCAAATGCTTTTCTGTTGGAGGTTTTGCAAATATTGCTCATACTTCTTAACAGACCTCTCCCACTCAACACCACCAGAAAATATTTTTTGTATTTAGTCATCATTCAATGCCTGCATTGTTCTGCCCATGGAAATGTCATTTGCTAGCCTATTTTACTATAATTTTCCCCTCAATTTTGCTTGTATCTTTTGCAGTCCTTCCCAAGCATTAGATTCCTAGCACACATGGGACCTGCATATGTCCTTTCTTTTCTTGTCTGGAAAACTCTGCTGTTCAGTTGTCATTGTGGAACACCCTTGGTGGGTTTTGTGTGTGTGTGTGTGTGTGTGTGTGTGTGTGTGTGTGTGTGTTTTGTTTTGTTTTCCCTCTCTGGGTTTTATATAGCGTTGATTCTTTTGGATTTTGTTTTGTTCTAAACAAATCTTGTCTTTTATGACCTTAAATTTGGACACTTTTGTTTGTTTGGGACAGTGTCTCACTGTGTCTCCTTGTCTCCTTAGACAGTGTGTAACGCACTATGTAGACTAGGCTGGACTTCGAACTCAGAGGTCAGCATCCATGCTCTACCTCCCCCCAGCCTTGTGATTAAAGGTGTGCAACAACATGGCTGGCTAAATTTACACATTTTAACAACAAATGTGTTTTGTTTCTTAAACCCTGGCCATAAAAGAAAAGGATCACCTGTATAAATGTAGCAATACTGAAAAAAAGATTATACAAATAAATAAATACATGGAGAAAAGTAGTGTTTATGTATAAATAAGCTAAAATAGGAAATGAAAAATAATTTGGTCTTGGCTAAACATTTTAAATACATAGCTTAAATATATGGTTCTAGGTTACAATGGAATAATTGAATAGTCTTCCCTGAATCTAGAAGTGATAAGAAAAAACAAAATTTAAAACTGAGCTTAAAAATAAATAAATAAATAAATAAATAAATAAATAAATAAAAATTAGCTTAATAAAATTTTTCCAACTAGGAAGAACATTGTTCCTTATATATCGATTCAATGAAGTCTACACACATACATACCGTTATTTAAATCACCTCAGCTATTTAAAAATAATGACAACTATAAGTGGTTAGGTTAATTTTTTTCAATACAATAAAAAATGTAACTACATTTGATATAATAAACTGGTATATTTTTATACAAATAGTGTTTTGCTCTGTTTGATCTGCATTGTGGTATCATTGAAGTTTTTAATTTTATTTTATGTCAGTTATTTCTGAAGTTCACACCTCCTTTAGACAATAGATTTATTTTATTTTATTTTACTTCTACTTCATCACTCTAGGAATATCTGTAAAACAGAGTCAAGTTTTTAGAAGGTATACTTCTAAACAGAGTTATCAGTGGTTAGTGTCTAGTCAAGCATCCTTACCTGACTATTCCATTGAACAAAGGGGAGTGCAAGAGTAATAAAGAAAAGGAGGTGTTAGATTAAAAAAATTATCCATGAAGCTTATTGTCTTAGGGTTTCTATTGCTGTGACAAAACACCATGAGCAAAACCAAGTTGGGGAGGAAATGATATTGTGGGATATTTGTACATTGTGTGAAGATATATTGTGTGATGGATTAATAAAGAGCTGAATGGGCAATAGCTAGACAAGAGGTATAGGAGGGCCTTCTTGGCAGAGAGAGGAAGTAGAAGGAGATAATTGAGTTCTGAGGGAGATGCCAAGGGACACTGAGAGGAAACAGGAGTTTCAAGATGAAAGATAAAATGCCACTTAGTAAAATGTAGATTAATAAAGGCAGATAATGTAAGTCATAGGAGCTAGAAGGGCAAGCCTAAGCTAAGGCCAAGCTTTCATAATTAATAATAAGTCTCTGTGTTATTTTGGGGGACAGAGAAAACCTCATTACAAAAGGGTTTATTTGGCTTACACTTAATCATTGCTCTTCATCACCAAAGAAAGTCAGGACATGAACTCAAACAGGACAGAAATTTGGAAGCAGGACCTGATGCAGAGAAGTGCTGGAGAAGGCCTGCTTGCCCTGGCTTGCTCAGCCTGCTTTCCTATAGAACCCAGGACCACCAGCCAGTGGGTGTTCCCACCCAGAATGGACTGAGCCCTCCCCCATAGATCATTAACTGAAAAAATGCCTTACAGCTGGTTCTCTTGAAGGTATTTTCTTAACTGAGGCTCCTTCATCTCTAATTACTGGCTTGTATCAAGTTGACACACAAAACCAGCAGCTACAACTAAACACAAATGCATAGCAATTAAGCCACAACCCTTCTTTTCTTATTCATCCAAAAGATCTCACACTAAAATCTTAAATAATTTTAAAAGTCCCAGTCCTTTCAAATCTAAACATATTAAAGTTTCAGTCTTTTTAAAATATACAATATCTCTAAAAATAAAATCTCTTTTAAAAGTTCAAGTCTTTGATCCATAGGCTCCTTTAAAGATCAAAATTCATTCTAAATTAAGTATATTTCTCAAGAAGGAAAAATCAAGGCACCATCATAATCTGAATCAAGCAAAACCAAACTCGAACAGTAGCTCCACTACACTTCTATTACTGTTCTAGATGGTCATCCGACGATACTGGCATCTCCAGAATAGGGGGTCTCTCACTGCAGCTGGGCTGCACTTTCAACAATAGCCTCTCATAGGTTCTTTTCATGATGCCAAGCCTCAACTTCTTTGCATTACCCCATTCAGTCCTGGGCCTTCAATTGCTATTGAGGCTGGACCTCCACCAATAGCCTTTCCTGGCCTCTTACAGTGCTAAGCCTCAGCTGCTCTCCATGACCCCTTCATGCCTTCAAAACCAGTACCACCTGGGTGACACTTACACATGACCAAGCTCTGCGCCAACATGAGGTAAAATGGCCACCTCTGGAGCACAGCTTCTCTGTGCTCCCAGGAAACACTTCCCAAAAGATTTCACCTCAGTGATGCTGGTCTCTTCTTAATCACTGCTAATTTCTTAGCTCCAGCTGACCAGCATCAAATGTCCCAGTAGCATAAAGGGTTCACTTTAGCAGTTCTGCTATTGTTAATAACAGCTCATTCTTCAGTCCCAGCTAGCCAGAACCACAGAATCTTAATTCAAATATCACATGGCCCTGATGAGTCTTTAAACTTCCCTCTGAAACGTCACAAGCCAGGCCTCCATCCTTTGCACTGCTCTCAACATTCTCATCTTCTAAGTTCCCAGAGAACATTCTGTGGAGCTCTTAACATGTATGGTTCTTCTAGCCCAAAGTTCCAAAGTCCTCCCATAATCATCCAAAAAATATGGTTAGGTCTATCACAGCAATGTCCCACAATAATGACATTAAAA